CCTCATTCTTTCCACAGACGTCCTTTCTGCTGTTTGCATCTTGGTTCAATTTCAGAGAGATTTCCAGCTTAGCTCCAGTGACTCTCGCATCTCATTACACTCTTGGTAATTAGCTCCATCTCATTACCCTGGCCCGGTTGGAATACGATTACTTGTTTCCAGGTGAAACCCCGCACGGTGTATACACCTCTTCAAAATTCCAGGCAGGCCTTCTGCCGCAGCCAAGGCAGGACAACTACTTCCAGCCTCATACAGTTCATTACCGCGTTCATGTCAGGAAAAGAACTCCGTTGTGCTCCACATCTGGTGGCACGCTTATTAATTATGCACTTCTCATAACAACTGTGTCTAATTAGGACAGAGTTGAGACCTCTGCGGAGCCTAGGTATTCTTTATGTTTTCCCATTCTTGGTACCTCATTACCCTCCCTCCAAATTATGCCCAATTTGTTTTACATCCATGCCACATTAAGACAATTGCTCTCAGGTGTGCAGTACAACACACACTCCGCTTTTCAGCCCAAACTTTCTTGACCAGAACACTCCTTGTTCCCATAACCTGTGGAAGGCTAGCCGTGATTGGGTCTCTGCTTACATTTGCCCTGGATGGGATGAATCCAGCTCAGTCTTGCTGAACCCTGGGACTGGACTCTGGCCTGTTTCACCCCTTGTCTCCCTATTTCTGTGCACTGGGCCTGGGGAGTTAGCCACTGCCATGTCTCAGAGCAAGAATCCCGACTGTAATGGCCCTGGTCCACTCACAGCCGGTGATGCAGGAATGCATTTTTTCCTTCAGGAGTCGCTGAGGCGGGCGCTGCCTGGCTTTGGTGGCGAGGAAGGCACACTGAAAGTGACAGTCTGAACTTCCAAAGCGTCACACGACTTAGCCGAGAAGCAGGGAATCAGGCTGAATGAAGATTTCGGTTCTCAATCTGATGCAATGGCTTCCTAAATGAAAGGCTCGTGTGAGAGGGGCAAGTATGGACTTTAGAGAAAGCAAGATCCTAGTGAGAGTTTTAAGAAGCCAGTGAAAACACCAGGTCACACCACAAGGACTCTCTGGATGCCACTGTAGAGATCCCACTTGAGTTGCAACAGGCAAGCATAAGCAGAGATCATGTGTCCTCCTGACCTGTAACTTCTCTGTGTTGAGGTATTTTTCCTTCCCAAGCTATTTGAAATATCTAATAATGACTAGCAGGCTCTGAAAACATCCAGGCAGGAGTGCAGTCCTAGAGAGGACCTGGGACTTTCTTTGAGTGAAGTCTGACATGGAACACCAATGAATGAACTTGTCTTTGGGAGCTTGTAAACGGTTCCTCAAGGGCAAAAGGCTGCACGACAGATCCTTGCCAAATCTCCAGGATGTTGTCAGTTGTAAGAGGGAGAGAATTCTAGCTGGGCAATGAGATTAAAAGACCCCACTGTGAGCCGGGCAGTGGTGGCTCATGCCTTTAATCCCAGCATTTAGGAGGCACAGGCAGGTGGATCTCTGAGTTTGAGACCAGTCTGGTCTACAGAGCAAGTTCCATGACAGCCAGTGTTACAGAGAAACCTTATCTTCAAAAACCAAAAACCACTCCCACCCACCCCCAAAAACAAAAAACCCATCATGAGGCAGGAATAAAAACAAAATTCTGCAATGGGTTGGATGCTTTGGAGAAACGGAATAGAACAGACTATTTAAACGAGTGCTTAGTGGGTGGGGGGCATAGGAGAAAGCACTACCAGAGGTCCTGACTCGTGATGTATATCATGACCAGCCATTAGATATGTTCCTTTTCAAGGAATTTATTCTAATGAGGCTAGGTTGGAAGGAAGTCTTCTCGTGGTTTCTACATTGGGCATAGGAAGGAAAGAATATTTATGGTGTGGGGTTGTGGTGAGGACAAATGGGAAGACATGGCAAGTTGTGTAGAGACGGTGACAGTGGTAAGAGACACTGTCCCTGGGAACTCCTTCAGCTTGTGGAGTTACTCTCTAGCAAGCTGGGTGACAATCTCTGCTGTCTTTCATGGCTATGCTTACTGTCTGTCTCAGGACCCTTCCTAGTCCATGGGTTCTAATCCATGGTGCTGAGCCATGCTGGACCATAGACAGAGAAGTCCTCATGCAGGAGGCTGGCTGCTCCAGGATTCTGTGGACATCAAAGTTTATGGATGCATTCTGCATTTACTTTTTTTTTAAAGAGTTTTATTTTGTGTTTGTGTGTCTATATGTCTGCATGCAGGTGCCTGCAGAGGCCAGACAGGATATGGGATGCTTGGATCTGGAGTTACAGGCAGTGGTGAGCCTTCTGACACCCCAAAACAACAAGTCCTCTTAACCAGTAAAAAGGAAATATTTCCTCTTTCATTAATGTGTATTAGTCCTTCTGTCATCCACTAACATTTGTTTTTTAAATATCCATTGCATATATTAATTGTACATGGAACTGTTAAAAGAATTTTCATACATGTTTATATGTACATGGAACATATTTTCCCCAGAATCCTCTACCCTTCCATCTTACCCTGTACCCTCCTGTTTGTATCCATTGTTCCCATGACATATATACATACATGGTGTTATATAGCTATATAAGATCTGGAAACTACACACACATACTCTCAGCAGTATGTCTGCCTGCACGAGACCTGCATGACAACAGTAGCTGACATGGCAACCAAGTTTTGTCTGAGACTGGCTTAATCTGCTTACTATGATGATCTCCAGTTGCATCCATTTTCCTGCAGATGACAGCTCTGTTCTTTGTAGTGAGAAGACATCCCATGGGGCACCTACAGCATTCATTCGTCATCCTTCTACAGCATATATATACATCTGCATCCACACCTTAGTTCCTTTACTGTTCCTCCGTTGTTGGGCCTGGGCTGGTTCCACACTTAGCTGCTGCGAACAGTAAACACTTCTGTCCAAATATCCCTGTGACACGTGGACTTGAGCCCTCAGGTGAGTAAGGACCCAGGAGTGGCATAGCTGGGTCATGTGGTAGATCTATTTTCACTTTTTGAATTTCTAAAATTTTTCATTTTTCGAGACTTTCATAAATGAACACACTGAATTTATATCATCCCCAACCCTCCCCCTTCTGACACCTCTCATGTCCCCCCCCTTCTCCTTTTTCGATCAACAACTTCTATAATTATTGTTACACATACACCCTAATGAGCCTGCTTAGTTCTGTTTGTATGTACATGTCTTTAGGGGTGACCACTTGTGACTGAGTAGCCCTGGAGAAGTCAGATTCTTCCTCTCTTAGTAACCATTGGCCACTTGTAGTTCTCTCTCAGGGGTAAAGCCTTGTGACTCATCCCCTCATGCATGTGGGCATGTCAACTGCTATTGTCATTATTGTATGTCTTGTGTAGGCAGCCATATTTTGAGAGTTCATAGGTGTGTCATGATATGTCTAGAAGACATCCTCTTGTAGCAGCCACCCCGGTCCTCTAACTCTTATACTTTTCCTGTTCCCTTTTCCGTGATGCTCCTCAAGCCTTCGGTGTAGGGTTGTGCTGTAGCTAACCCAGCTGGGGCTGGGTACCTCACAGTCACATTATTGCATTTTGACCAGTTGTGAAATCTATGTAGCAGCCTCTGTCTGCTTTAGAGAAGAAGGTTCTTTGCTGAGGAGAGCTACACCTGAGAAAGAGTGTGAGTGCCCCTTCTGGGTGTGGAAAGGGGGGCTACAGGGCAAGGGACCAGGGACAGAGTCACCCATCTAGTTTTACTATTTTAGGAGCCCTCACAGCTGTCTCATGCTGGCTGGATAGTTTCCATCCCTACCAGCAGTGTATACAGGTTTCCTTCAGCCCACATGCTCAGCAGCATTTGCCATGTGTTTGAGGAATATCTCCGCTCCATGTTTGCTCAAGTCTGTAGAAGGGGAGTCACTGGGTAGCTACGTGGACTAGTCATAGGTCCATCTCATTATCCCACATCTAAGAGAAAATGGTGAGCTTTGCTTTCAGTGCCCTCCTGCTGCGGCTTATTAGTATTTTTGTCTTTTACTGACAACAGCACTTCTTAGGGAGTGGCTGTCATGGTAGAATGTTAACTCATGGCCATATGTGTCTGGGCTCTGTACCGACTCTGGTACTTTCTAGTAATGACGATGAATGACACAGAATCCTTCTTGTAAGACATCCTTGGAGTAGAGCCATGCCATGCAGAAACACCTTCAGTGTGTCCCCAGTGGTGGCAGTAGTGGCCATAGCCACTACAGAGAAGCATCTGAACAAAAGTGGTCCATTCCAACAGTTCTTCGCCCCTCTTGCCACCCTTGCTTCCTGGGTAGAGTTACAAGAACCTTGTGCGAGGAGGCACTGCTTTTCCATTATTGTCTCCTGTGTGCATTTAACTTCTTCCCTGTCAGGATTCTAAACCACAGTTTTGTAGCCGTCCTGTGTCTCAGAAGCTGCTGAAAAGCCACCCTGAAGATGCCTGCTGGCTTGCCCCACTGCCGACCTGGCTTCAAGCTCAGTTTTGGGTATAAGCTTGTTGGGTTTCAAGTCCAGTACCTAAATGCTAGGTACAGGTGTTCTCTGTCTCTGTATCTAGCCTGTGGTGGCTTAAAAGAAAGTGGCCCCCCAAAGGAGTGGTACTATTAGGAGATGTGGCCTTGTTGGAGTGAGTATGGCCTTGTTGGAGGAAGTGTGTCACTGTGGAGGTGACCTCTGAGCTTTCAAATTTGCTCAAGCTACCCCCAGTGGCTCAGTTCACTTCCTGTTGCCTGTGTGAGATGTCAAACTCTCAGCTACCTTTCCAGCTCCATGTCTGCCTGCATGCTGCCCTGTTCCACCATGATGATAATGTACTAAACCTCAGAAATTACAAGCTACCCAATTAGATGTTTTCCTTTATAAGAGTTGTCTTGGTCACGGTGTCTCTTCACATCAGTAGAAACCCTAAGACATGGCCCAGGTGTAGCGCACTTGACACATGTTAGTGTCCCAGGAAATGTTTGCTGAATACAGACTATGAGAAAAAAAACAAACAACATTTAAGCTTCTCAGAACAGTTTTAATTTTTGGCTGTTCCCATCCAGACCAAAGTTGCTACAAACAGGTGTGAAAATTCCCTCCCCCGGGGTCTAAGAGTGACCTTGCATAGCCCCAGCCCTTCTGCTCCTCCCATGTGTGTTCAAGATGCTTCCTTGTCAGTGCACTTGCTACCCTTGAGTAGCAAGAGGATGTGGGGGCCTGGGGCATTGGCAAGATCCATATTGCCACGAGCATTTCAGGTCCCAGTACCAGGAAAGGGCAACTCAAAGGAGGCCTAGCAGCCAGGCATGGTGGTGCATGCCTTTAATCCCAGACAGATCTCTGCGTTCGAGGCCAGCCTGGTCTACAAGCAAGTTCATGACAGCCAGAGCTGTCACACAGAGAAACCCTGTCACACACAAAAAAGAATCTTCACTGCTGACATCACAGGAAAAATGTCCCATCTTCCTTGCTTTCAGCTGAGTAGACCTGAGCTCTATTGCTTAATATTAACTACTAGTATTGCTTTAATTCTCTCTGAATTTAGGTTCAATGTTTACTGTAATACTAATTGCTTTACTTTTTCACTGTCAAAATCTTTTAAAGCTATTTTTATTTTTGTGTGTCTGTACCTGGTGGGTATTAGTTTGTCCATGGTTTATTACAACAACAGCGACAACAAGGACAGGACTTGTCTGTGAATTTAAATCATATTAACTGAGGCGTGAAGATCCATGCTGAATGTGGGGGAACCATTCTATGGCTGAGGTCCTAGGTGGCATAAAAAGGAGAAAGCTACCCAAACACAGGTGTCCACTGCTGTTTCCTGACTGCAGATGCAGTGAGCAGCTGCCTCAAGCTCCAGCGGTCATGCTTCCCTGTTATGATGGGGTTACCCTTAACTGTTAGCCACAAAAACTTTCCTTTCTTGAGTTGCTTTTGTCATAGAACAGGACAAGTCACTAATGCAGTGTGCACAGGAACATGAGGGAGCCCCTCAAAATTGACCCTCAGAGAAGTGTGAGATGGGGAGCTCTGCAGCCATCATTTATTTTCAGGGTCAAGTCATGGGGGTGACTAACCTTTCACCCTTCTCTTTTCAGCACTAGTTTTATGACTTGATTTTTTTCTTACTTTATGTGTCTAAGTGTTTTTGCCGGCATCTATGTCTGTGTACCACATACACGAGGTACCTGTTGAGCCAGAAGAGGGCTTCAGGTCAGCAGGAACTGAAGTTACAGATGACTGTGAGCTTCATGTGTGGGTGCTGAGAATTGAACCCTGGTCCTCTGGAAGGACAGCCGCTGCTCTTAACTGCTAAGTCACCCCTGCAGCCCCGACTCTTGGCTTTAATACAGAAGGAATAAAACAAAAAGGCTATAAAGCCAACCAGCAACCTGTGTGCAAGCTACACCACCCTCAACCCCAGCAAGGGATGAAGAGCTGCTTTCTCCCCGGCCTTGAGGAGATGGGGAGCCAGATGAGAAGCCTCAGATTTGATTTTGGCAATGGAGACAAAGTAATGTGCACACACTCACCTCACTGAACTATAAACTGACAAAGTTGAGAGAATAAAAAGCTTATGCCATGGACCATATTAAGTGGTGTCAGGATGGTCTTAAAACTCAACTTGACATGCCCTCCTTCCTGTCCCACCCTCATCCCTAAAGTAGTCGTTAGGCCAAACATTCCATACTGCAAACTTCCTAGAGTTCATATAGAAAAGCAAAACTAAGGAGAAAATAATCCACTTTCTATCCACTAAGCATCAGTGTAGGCAAAAGCAGGTCAGCTCACGCTATGCTGAGTAGCTAGAACCCGAGGCTGCACTAAGAATGAACCCCACCCTCACCCACTGCGGGGCACACCATCAGACGGTCGTTATTTTCTTGTCCTTGGTGGCTTGCTTGATGGCAGCCTGCTCACAGATGATCTCCTTGAGCCTCTGCAGCCTGGTGTTCTGGATGGTCTGGTCCCCCACGCCGGTCTGGCTGCGGTGCAGCAGGGTCAGGGCATGGATATACTCCAGCTCTGTGTACTTCACGCCCTGGTCCACCACCAGGTTCAGGAGCTCATCGGCTGTGTTGTAGAGCATCTCGTAGTACTGCCTGGGGAAGCAAGACAGAACCTTGGTGAATGTTTCCTTCATCGGCATGGTGGCTGGGGGCATGCCCATGCTGCTAATTGTATGCTAATATGTTTACTTATTTCACAAACAGCTACTGATTACCTGGAAGGCAAGTTCTGTCCCACTCAACCTCTTAGTCACTCACTCATTATCTTATTATTGGAGTCACTCATTATCTTATTACTGGAGACTCTCTGAAACAAATATATCTTTCTTCTGCTTGAAATGGGATAATAGTGTTGCCTATTTCTTCAGGTTACTGGAAGAATTAGTTAACTCATAACTCATCAAGAAGAACTCTTACCACAGCGATGGTAATAGGAACACAATAACAGTAATGGTAATATTAGAGCAGCTTTGTGTGTCCAGGGAGAGAGGAGGCTTCCAAGGTGTGGGTCACCTCCTTCCTCCCTGCCAGGAAAGCTTTAACCAAGGTTGAGGGCCTAGAAGCAAGCAGAGTGCGGTGAAGAGACATGGTCTGTAAAGAAACCCTACACATCAGGACGGCTGGCTCAGTGACTTGTCCCTGCTCTCAGGTCTTCAGTTTACTTCTTCATCAAGAATATCTCAGGGGGAAGAAAAACCAAACACCAAACATCAAACCAAACCAAAACCCTTCCAAACCTCCCATTTTATGGAGGAAGGAAGCTATCCTTGGGTATGGGAATATATTTCAAGAGCTTTAAGATTACTGTTTCAATGGGGGTATGGTCAGGAGTGGTTCTGGTATCTCCATTAGAACAGGAGAGATGATGCCCTCAAATAGCCCTAAGAAGGGGGAGGGATGAACCAGCTTATTTTAGATGGGCAACTTCAGGAGTGTCTCGGGAGCACAGTTTGGCACTGTCCCATGTGGAGAGTCCCCTGAAGATTAGTGTTTTGTTGTGGTTTCAAATGAGGACTTACTTCAGCCGCATGAAGCCTGCTATGGCATGACTGTGAAATGTTCCTACAGGTTCATCTATCTGCACACTTTATCCAGAGCTGCTGGCATTGTTTTGGTAGGCTGTGGAAACTACAAGAACTAGCTGGAGGATGCAGAACACTAGTGGCAGGCTTATGACGGTTATAGACTGGCTCTGTGTCTTCCCAACACTCTCTGCTCCATGATCCATAGAGATGCAAAGAGATGGTAGCTGTCAGTTCCCATTGTCCTAGAGTGAACAGCTACGCCTTCCCCACTAAAATGGACTGCATCCTCCTCAACTGTGAGCCCCGATACACCCTGGCTGTTTGAGGGTACTTCTGTCAGGCATTTGGTCACGAGAAAAGTAATGAGCATATAACCAGGTATCTGGAAAGCACTGCCAAGCATATGCTTGGATGTGGACAGAAGAACTCTGATGGAAGAGGAGGATAAAGTCACTTGGAGGATTCTGGCAAAACAGTAGCATCAATAATCAGGAAACCCTTTGAGGTTGCATGTTTAGCATGAAGTCCATGAGCTTTATATTATACTCCTCAATGTACCTGCTATAATTAAAATATTCTAGTGAAAAATTATGCTGTAGGAAGGTGCTTCATGCTGTCGAACAGCATCCCATGCTCTGTGGCACATAGTAACTTCTGCCCCGACCCTTTCCTTATTTTATGAATTAAGGACCTATGCTATATGGTTCTGTTTCCCTTAGATGCACAGGTGTGAGAAAAAGGTGTCTATTTAGGGAACTTCCTTAAAATATCCATTTTAAAATTGCTCAAGAAGAAGACATGTACAAATTTAGAGCATTCAAATGGAGTTAGACCTTAGAGACCTTTGAAGCCTGGACTTTTTAGCCTAAATGTTCCTAAACTTCAGAGTGCATCACTCAGAACTACCTGGGGGTCATGAGGAGTGTGGAGTACAGAAGCCTCGCACCCTGGTATTGCAACTGTCAAAGGTTCCAAGCCACTCCCACCTAGGGCCTAGAAGGAGGGGCCGCTACTGAGGCAGTAAATGGTTTATGATACTGTTCACTGAGATTAAGCCAAAAGAATTGGAGTTCTCTACATTATGATATTGATATTTTCATCATTTATCTTAAAAAGCAATGCTGAGCCCATCAGCCCGGATGAAATTGGATTTCTTTTGAAAAATCTGATGAATTGTTTCCAGGGAGACTGGTTTTCTACAGAGACTGCCATCCCACCCCAGGAGCAAACAAGACAAAGACGCCAAGTCCTGGATCTTCCAGTGTGATGACTGACGAAGGGCACACCACTAAAGTACTTAATGTTTTACTATCCTCTGTGCCTTGATGACCTTTATAAATCCCAAAATGACACTCTTGAAGGCAATGGGGAGACTAAAGGAGTTCTCAAAAGCCTCCGATGAACAGTGCACCAAAATTGCAAAGCTGAGTTATTAAACAAAATTGACAGGTAACTGATGGCATATTTTCTATAGTTAGGGAAAATTCCCCTATAAGCATGATGATATATTAGATCATAAAGAAACATAAATATTTAAAGACAGAATGAAATTCATTTATCTTTCAGAAAGCTACCTCACCCAGCAGCGAAGACTAATAAATGGGCAGAACAACTGACTGGGAGTTGGGAAGGTGCTATGAGATGCCCTAAAGAGAAAGTGGGAGAATGCCCCAAACTGTGCAATTAAAATGAGCTTCCATGATAAACACTGACAGACTGAGATGAAATCAAGTAACCCAACAGTACTAAATAACTGATGGGTATGTACCGAGACTTCAGGGAACTAAACGCATGTTTTTTATCATCAAGCATTAAAACAGGTGGCATTGTATGTGGCTGCTTGGGTTGCATTAGTGAACGAACACACATGTGCTGTAGATGTTTTCCAGCTCAGGACTCAAAGAGGGAGTCTCTTTTTTAGGACTCCTTAACATTCAGAGGTCAGATGCTAGCTGTGGACTGAATATTCTGGACCAAAGGAGTTTGGCATCATCCTGATGACTGGAACATTCTATGACCAAGTGTGTACCTTCCCATGATTCCCCTTGCCCTTTGCTGTGTGCCTTTTGGTAGCACTTCCCAAAGCATCACGAGTAGACATGGTGTACGAATACTTTTCTGATGCTGCACTAAGATGTCATGACCCAAAGGGACATGCTGAGGAAGACTATTTTGGCATCAGGCTTGGTTGTGAAGCCACACTGCATTTTCTGAGCATGCAATCAGGCATATGTGTATATACAAACTGCTTGAACCTTTTGTTTTCAGCATTAGGACCCTTCTGACTTCCCTCTAAAAGCTTTTATATGTTTAACCCACAAGGATCAGAAAGGGCTTTAGTCTACACCTGTCTACCTCCCACTCTGGCACGCTCAGTTCATGTCTCTATTGTGACCTGAGGTTGCTGCAAAAGGTTATAGTTTCCTGTAGGTAAACTAGGGGAAGAATGCCCCCAGCCCCAGGCCATCTCTTCCACCAACAGCATTTTTTCCTGTGCCTATAGCCTTTCACAGAAGGTGTGTGTGCAGGTGACAGACAGCAGCGCCCTGCTGGGGGCTGGCCTAAATCCCCTGGGTACTCTTTTGCCATCTGCCTTCTTTCACCTGTATGATTCAGAGTACAAGATTCATTTCTAAGTGGCTTTTAAATAGTTACCTTGGGCACCTGGAGGCATTAGTGCCAGTACCCCAAGGCCAAATTATGTCTATAAAATAACATGGTATTTGTATAAAACTTATATAGTCCTCCTATACATTTTAATTTATTGAGACAGAGTCTTACTATGTAGCCCTGGCAGGTCTGGAACTCACTCTGTAGACCAGGCTGGCCTTGAACTCACAGAGATCCACCTGCCCTGCCTCTCAAGTGCTGGGATTGAAGGCATATGCCACCATGCCTGGCTCTTTTAATACATTTTAAAATCCTGTCTAGATTATGCACTCAGCACAATGCAAACATATTACAAACAACTGCTATAATATAGTGTTGTGAGAATAATGATGATAAGTCCACACATTTTTTTTCCTGAATACTTTAAATCTTTCATTGGCTAAAACCAGAGAAGGCAGACTCTATGGATAAGAACCTGAGCATAAAGATGGCTAAAAGCAAACAGCTGTGGGCTCCTGCTGTGTTTTGGAGCTGTATTTATTACAGTAATATTAACAATGTTTAATTTGTAGATACATCTGTGTATTCAACCTTCTGAAACAGTATCACAATTCATACTGTACACAGAAGCAACTCAGCTGTAGAACATGAGTGACTTGTCTCAGGTCTCAAAGTAAAGGATTTTAAGACCTAAACAGCCTCTAAAGGTAAGGTAATATAGATATTTGAAAGTATAAGAAGGAAAAATACTAGCTGTTATTAGTGTCTGTATAGCTAATTACATTTAGCCATGCTTTTGTATAACTGAATAAAATTCTCAGACTAACTCACTCCAGCCATGTCTTCTGTTGACGTGGAGTGAGCCTGCACTGTGGCAGTTCACACCTTGTTTAGACAAACCTCACAGTTACAAGCGACTAGCTCTATGTGGATCTGGAATTCAGGGCTCCAAACTTAAACTTCAACATTTAACTCAGGAGTTTTTTGTTTTGTTACCTCCTTTATTTTTCCCTGTTTGTCTGTCGAGCTGGTTGGTAATGGATGAGGTAAGCATCCTTTTGAAAAGATGGTTGCCTTTCTGATTTATTACTTCCTTTAGGAGACGGATCACGATGTGTTTTTGGTGTGGTGCTTTAGGAAGGGGAATTCTCGAGTGCTGGTGGGGACAGAAATTAGTACAGCCATTGTGGAAGACAGTAGATAATAAAAACACACAGCACTCTCCTAAGACCCAGCAGTCCCGCTCTGGGCTCTGTATCCAAAGGAAACAAACCCATTACATCAAAGAGACACTTGGACTTTCTTATTTATTGCAGCACTAGTCACAATAGCCAAGATACAAAATTGATGACAGCATCTATCATTGAACGTCTGACTAAGGAAAGTATGGTGTATATGCCTAACAGGTTGTTACAGAAGAAACAATGAGATCCTGGCATGAAAAGCTGACCTGAGCCT